TTCAATAGTTGATGGTACGTCGATGGCACAACCTTTATCTCATGTAGCCACGATCTGCCAAGAATAATGTTGTAGCTCATGTCATCGTTTACTACTTCAAACAAGGTAGTCTTCATGACCCATTCGGCATTTGTGGGAAACAGGATTTCCCCTCGGGTTGTCACACTTTCTAAGTTGAACCCGGCGAGGAGCTTTGTGGCCTAAATGATGCTTCCGGTTAGCTTAGCTTGTTCCAGCACTCTCCATGGAATGATATTGGTTGAACTTCCTGGGTTCACCAAAACACGTTTAATTTTAAAATCTAAAACATTAAGAGAAATTACCAGGGCATCGTTGTGCGGTAGTAAGAGTCCATCGGCGTCCTCCTCTGCAAAGGTAATATCTTCCCCGACGACTTCCCAGAGTCTCTTGCTATGAGTCACCGATACCTTTGGCTTTTTTGCTGCTGAAAAGGTTACACCATTAATCTCGTTCCTCCCGAAAATCATGTAGATCATTAGTCGTAGAGGATCTTCTCCTATCTTCTAGGGCTATGTGTTATCTCGGTTGTGGCCGTAGTTGTTGTTAGCCCGGTCACTTAAGAACTCTCTGAGTTGGGCGTTTCTCAGCAATGTCGCCACCTCCTCGCGCAGATGTTGACAGTCTCCACTTTGGTGGCCGTTAGTCCCATAATATTCATACTATAGAGTAGGATCGCTCTGGCTGGGATCAGACCTCATCAGCCTCAGGAACTATGCTTTTTTAATGTTCCTCATCGCCGATACCAACTCCACCACGCTGACACTGAAATTATATTCGGATAGTCTAGGGTAGGTGGAATTCTGGGAGCCTGATATCTTTTTGTCCTGCAATGATCTGTTATTCCAGCCTCGGTCAGTTCTCCTATCGGTAGCGAACCTGTCCATTGACCGGAAACCTCTATCGCATCGTTCGGCCCTTTCATAGGGCAAAAACCTGGCCTTAGAAGATCGCCGATCTGCGTCAGAATCGTCCTTTAACTTATCCTTGTTCTTTTCTCGATCCCGACCCTTGGTTGATGCAGGAAACTGAACTAGTCGTCTTCTATTCTTATCTTCGATTCATAACGGTTGTGGACATTTGCCCATGTGGTTTTTCGGAACTCAAAGGCTTTCTTTATGTTTCTGGGAAGCGTCGGAGCTCCTCGGGTTCAACCCTTTAGTGAATGCCTCAGCCTTCTATTCATCTGGCACAACCGATAGGAGCATCTTTTCATTCTGAACCTGGCCACAAACTCCCATAGCAATTCAGACTTTCCCTGTGCGATTCTGAATATGTCGGCCTTTCGGGCATGTACCTTCCTGGCCTCGGCATGGGCCTTGATGAAAGAATCTGCAAGCATCACAAAGAAATCTATTGAATGCTTGGGTAAAAGTGAATACCATGTCAAGGCCCCCCTCATGAGGGTTTCCCCGAACTTCTTCAGTAGGACCGACTCGATCTCGTCCGAAGCTAAGTCGTTTCCTTTCACCGACGTTGTATATGTGGTGATGTGCTCCTGAGGATCCGAAGTTCCGTCATATTTTGGTACGCCTGGCATTTTGAACCACTTCGGGATTAACTCTGGTACCATGCTTGGTTTGAACGGCAACTGGGTGTACTTCTTTGAATCTGGTCCCTTCAACATTGGCGGTGTATCCGGAATTTGGTCCATTCGGGCATTTATTTCCCTCATAAACCGCATGAGCTCGGTTTTAAAGGGACCATTACCGTTGTTGTTGTCAAATCCGCCACCGATCCCCCCGGCCGCGTCGAAGCCGACCTCACCCTTTGGGGTGTTGTTATCAACCCTTTGGGCTGTTTGATTCGCTGGAGCATCGGGAGGAACGTGACCCCTTCCCTTCACGTTGTTAAAAGCACCCAACAATGCTTGCCTCAATTCTGTCATGGCCTGGTCTTGCCGTGAGAGATAGCCCATAATAACCTTTTGTTATTCTATCAGGAGCCTCACCGTTTCCGCAACATGCTCGTCTTCAGTATCATCAAGAGTTTCCTCCCGTATGTGTCATGGATATTGCCCGCCATGAATCGGCGTGGCTACGTCCTCCTCGTTGCGGGTATCACTGATCAAATTCTCATGTTGAGGTGGATTTCTTTGGACCTCAACGTTGTGTACGATGTTGTTATCGTTAGGTGTCATTTTTCACAATTTTTATGCTAAGAAACAAAGAATCAAACATATTAGTAACAGAAGCAAGGATCAACTCAATTACGCAACTGTCTAAGTCCCACGGTGGGTGCCAAACTATTTACATGTAAAATGGTATAGTTGAATTTATAACGTGATTTATAGACAAGCAAATCGATTTGATTCCAAGATGATAAAGAAATTAAATAAAACGTAAGACTTAGCGTTGAAATCGAGATAAGACAGCAAACAACTTAATTGCGGGAGCGAGACTTCCGAAGACAGTGCTAAGAATATCGATAGACTGAAAATAAAGTATTGTTGAGCTTAGCATAATGTGTAGTATCGGTTTGTCAAAATTTTCGTGTCCTACAATAGTTGTTAAAACCACTATTTATAGCTATACCTAGGGAACAAGGTCCTAGAATCAAGCGCCTCTTAAATGACAATAATGGGAGCCTTTGATGAATATATAACGGCAGACTATGAATGCCAAAATTCTCTATAACGGATTGTATATTTAATACTGAGGAATATTCTTTATTAAATGTCATCTGGTGACAAATATTCGTTTGCTCCCATTAACGATGTTCCCTTCGGGGTTTGCCCAGTGTCAATCGAAGCTATTGTCCTCGGCCTTTGTTTCCACTTTGCCTTCCGTCTATCTCTGGTTTCATGTGTCATTCTATCATTCGAGCATTCAATGTGAATCGATTTTACCCCGTACAATGTTAGAATTCTAATCTTCTACGAATTATTTGGGTAAACTTTAAATCAGAATAAGTATCGATACTTGTTTTAACTAAATATTTTCGAGAAGTCAACTAGGCGAGTATCTTAAACTTTATTTCGAGAGGCAATTAATGAAAGGAATCTACATTAAACAGCATAGATTAGCGAAACGAGTGTGCATGTGGGACCATGTGACGGCAATTTAATATACTAGTTTCCAGTACAATTTATTAAGGTTATTAGAAGTTCACTAGTTGAGAATTCTCATATATCAAACCCATTAATTTTAAGGGTAAATTACACTCAACATTCCTATTATATACCCCTTCTTTCACTTTTACTTGGCAGGAATACTAAAAATAGTTTTTTATTGTCACTTTACGTATATCAGGAGAAGTTATTTTTTTTCCTTTTTTTACCCTTAATTCATTTACCAACATTTTTTGAATAAATAATGGTCAATTATAGCTTTCCAATGCTCAATATTGGAATTCACTGAGAACTCTTCATTATCACCCTTCGTTAAACACAAAAGTCCACTAAAGTCATCTTTTATTCCCTTGTTCTTTAGAGTATTTTTTTCTTCAGAAGTGATTTGGAAATTTGGGTTCAATTATTGGGTATCAATTAATTGGGTTATTGTAGTAAAATTATCATGTCAATCATTGTTTCTTAAAGGGCGTAAAAAATCAAAACGTGCCAAGTAAAAGTAGATATACTCTTTAACGGTATGAGGTCTTTTGCGGATAAACATGTGAGTTTAGCTCAAAGCGAGCAATATTACACTATGTTAAGAGTATCTTTGAACTGAATGAGCCCAACAATTGATATCGGAGCTAATGCAGCGAGACGAATGCGAAGAAGATGGAGTTGATGGCGTGGGGGCTTGATTTACTTTATTTACCAGGATAAAGTTATCTTGGAGAGCATGCTCACAAGAAGCTAGCTTTGGACTTTCGTAGCCATAGATGCTCGGTTACGTGAGTGACACATAGTGAATTTCAAAAATTATCCCATGGAGCGTGGTCATGGGTAAGGTGGAACTTTGTTCGAGGGGAGACCTGTCGATTATGGTGCTGGGTAACATAGAACTTGATTTAAGGAGAAGAGTAAGTATGCGAACAAAGTACCACATTGGTAATTAAAAAGATTGTAAAGCTACATATGTGGTGTAAAAATACTCTTTATTAGTGTGAGGTCTTCACAAGAAAATGGTGCGACATAGGTCCAAATCGGACAATATCACACTAAATTAGCATTACACTTGCTGATTCACCAATATCTTTTGGCGAAGCATGTCATTTCCAGATGAACATTTGGAAGAAAAACAAAAATGCACCACTTTGGTTAAGAAGGAGATTTCAAAAGAGAATGAAAGGCTTAAAGGTACAGGTAAAAGACATGAAACAAGAGGTAGATCCACTCTGCAACCAAAATTGTGAAATGGAAAAGCAGATGAGGGATATAGACCGAGAAACTTATCATTCAAAGTTAGAAAAAGAGGAGCTAAGTGATCAAGGAAATGAAAGATGATAGGAGCCACATTGAACCATCTGATTTCTGAAGCAGTAAATTTTATGTGCATCTTCATGCCTTTGAGTATGCTCATACTTACTTTATTCCAACTTCTTATTCTTACCCTGAAACAAAAAAAAAAAATTGCTGTCTGACCAAGGGCACTTCGCAAGCTTCAAAACTTGGACCAGCTAGTAAGCAAATCTGATCACTCCAACTTGTTTTTGGCAAGCATTTCCATATAAACATTGAAGCTGTAATGAGTAAAATATGCTTGTACTTCAATCGGATTCTTAAACATATATTGATGTCCCAACCTTCAATTTTGAAGTTTCCACCAGTTAGGTACTAGGAAAAGAAAGACAATACTTTATCCTGTTGCTGGGACAGTTTCTTACTTGCTTTAGCTTATTATCAATGCTTAAGACTATTGTTTTCTTGTTTTGCTCGAGATTTGCGACTTTGTTTATTATATTATGGATTGAAACCTGTGCAGATTATGGCAATCAATTTGGTCAACTTAAATTGAGGACCTCTATATATGTTTGAGTATTATTTAAGATTTGAACAAGCTCACAATCATGTGCAGCTGTGTGTTAGATCTGGAAAGAGATAGGCTTAATAAAGAAATGAATCTCATTTCCCAAAATCATGCTCCTTTCATCTAGTCATGGTTGCTTTCTTCTTGTTTCCTACACCAAGATTATCTTTTACTACTCCATCTTCAGAAAAGGAATTGGGATGATTTAAAGACTGAGATTCTCGGTATTAAACAGTCATGGCAAAAGATCAAACTGCCTTTTTCAGTTTTCGATCTTGTTGCTGTATTCTTGTTTTTCTCTGTGCTTTCTCACCTATTCCTCTTCTTTACTGGTCTTATTTCTTTGGCTATGGCTATTCCTACATCCAAATGACAGTGAACAATGAAAACAAACCAATTAATCTCCTTAAATTCTCAAAAGCTTGGAACCATCTTGTCTTTTCATCAAAACCACCTCAAAAACTCCTTAAAATTGCTCTGTTTGTCAAGAAATGGCCTGATGAACATCACGCAGGAGGACTTGAACGACACGCCTTAACACTCCATCTAGCCTTAGCCAAACGTGGCCATGAGCTTCATATCTTCACAGCTTCAACCTCCAACTCATCCTTTCCTTTATACCGAATGAGCAATCTCCATTTTCATATCTCGAGGCCTACTGCTGCGGGATATCTTGACCAAGCTGTTATTTGGAAGCGCTTTCAAGTAGAAAACGCGACAGAAAGATCCTTTGATGTGATTCATACAGAGAGTGTAGGCCTCAGGCATACTAGATCAAATAACCTGAATAATCTTGCAGTTAGCTGGCATGGAATAGCTTATGAAACTATACATTCTGATATCATACAAGAACTTGTACGAAATACTAAAGATCCACAATCAAATGCTTTGACTGAAAGAGTGAAGAAGGTTATCGAAGAGGTAAAGTTTTTCCAAAGTTATGCTCATCACGTTGCCACGAGCGATCACTCAGGAGATGTACTTAAAAGGATCTATATGATCCCAGAAGAACGCGTTCATGTCATTCTAAATGGTGTCAATGAGGAGATATTCAAGCCTGATATTTCGAAGGGCAATGATTTTAGGTTAAACCTAGGAATCCCAAGATCAAAGTCCCTAATCTTGGGGTTAGCCGGGAGGTTGGTTAAAGATAAAGGACATCCTTTAATGTTCGAAGCCTTACAACAAATTTTCAAAGAAAACTCAACATTCAGGGACAATGTCATTGTACTAGTTGCTGGAAATGGTCCGTGGGGTGCTCGATACAAAGACCTCGGATTAAATAATGTGATGGTTTTGGGACCATTGGAACAGGCTCAACTAGCAAGATTCTACAATGCAATAGATGTATTCATAAACCCAACATTAAGAGCTCAAGGTTTGGATCATACTTTGTTGGAAGCAATCCTAACTGGTAAGCCTTTGATAGCGACGAAACTTGCAAGTATTACGGGGTCTATTATTGTTAGCAAAGAGATGGGGTATACATATGCACCTACAGTAGGGGAATTGAAGAACGTCTTGTATGAGGTTTGGGAGGATGGAAGGGAAATTCTGAAGCAGAAAGGGAGATTTGCTAGGGAGAGAGGTTTGAAGTTGTTTACTGCTACCAAAATGGCTGCAGCGTATGAAAGGCTTTTTCTTTGTATCTCAGGTGATGTAAAGCAAGCAAAAAAGCATGATAACTATTGTATTTACCAACCTCAGTTTAATTGACAGAAGGTCCTATATTCTGTTTTCAGACATATGATGTGGTCTCAAAGCCGTTTTGTCAAGCAATGATTAAATCAACAGAAAATTAAACATCAGCCAATTTTCTGCCTTGTCACATTTGGAAGAAATTGCAGAACATGTAGAAGGGAAAAGCTGTATTGACAGTAAGCTGCATAAAGAGATAAGAGCTTTTCCTTATAAAAGAAATGAGTAGATTACCTTATATTTATACAATGTTTGGTTGCCATTTTATGTTTGGTATAACTAATACCGGCATAATTTAATACACAAATTGATATATTATTTTATCCCACCACTAGCATGAGATAACTCATCTATGTATAAGTTATACGGTCATACCTTTCTATAACAACGTCGTTATATAACAGTTATTCACAATAAAAGCAAAGGATTTTATGAAACAAATTTTCATACTATGTTATAGTATATGCTCTTTATAATCACACTTTGTTATAACAGCCAAATAAATCTGGAACCAATGAGGCTGTTATAGAGAGGTTTGACTACAAATAGATAAAGCAACCAAATGACAAAACTACCCTTGTATCACGACCCAAAATCTCATCACAGGCGTCGTGATGACACTTAGTCTCTAAGACTATGTAAGCCAATTATAATTACAATTCAAGCCAATTTGTTTTATATATATAAACCAACAACGGAAATAATTACAAACAACCTCCCAAGACTGGTAATACTAAGTTATAAACTCTAACTGAACACATGAAATGATCTCAAGGAACGAATACTCAATACTGTTTGATTAATAATTAATAGTACAATAAAATGGAAAGACTCCAAGGTGCTGCGACGACCAAGCAGCTCTACCTTGAATCCTTGCGATCAAACTCTAACTCTGTCCGAGTCCGATATATCCAATACTTGGCTCTGCACAAAAATGTGCATAAGTGTAGTATGAGTACACCACGATCGGTACCCATTAAGTATCAAGACTAACCTCAGTGGAGTAGAGACGAGGTACAGTCAAGACACTCAATAGTCTAATAACCTGTGCAATATGATATACAAAATAATAGGAAACAAATAACAATAAGGGCAACACAAATCAACCAGTGATATGCACAATAGGGCAACAAGAACATCATTAATATCGCTCAACAATTTAATAAATACAATTACACCCGATTAAATCAAGTCCTTCAAATAAATATCTTTCACATATAATTCTTCCGGATAAATCTCTTTCAAATATAATTCCCTTAAATAAATATCTTTCAAATATACTTCCTTCAAATAAATCTCTCTCAAATATAATTTATTCAAATAAATATCTTTCGAATATAATTCTTTCAAATAAATCTTTTTGAATAAAAAATTCTTCCAAATAAATATTTTAAATATAATTCTTTCAATTAAAAGTCATCATGTGACACCTCATTTCCTAATAATAAAATACGGGACTCAGTCCAATTTCATATTTTCACGGCACCTCGTGCCAATTTCTCTATCACAATTACACGGACAACTCACGTGCCAAATATCATTATCATTTAATCACGGCACCACATGCCCACATTTCATATCACAACTGCACGGACAATTCACGTGCCAATATCATCATTATTTAGTCACGGCACCTCGTGCCCACATTTCTCTTCGTAATCCGCTTGGCAATAGCCACAGGCCCCCAATCTCAACATAAATCAGATTGTTATCAATTTACCAATAACAAAACAAATTGTACAAGGTATAAACATAAACACAAGGAAAATCACAACATCACATAAAAATTACCAACACAACAACTCCCCCCTCCCCCCTCCCCCCAAATCACATATCATCCCTGACAATAGCCACCCTTATCTCTCTTATAGCCACCCTTATCTCTCCTATAATAACCTCCCTTATCCCTCCGGCCTGACAATATCAATAGTCACCCTTATCGCTCCTATAGCCACCCTTATCGCTCCTATAACCACCCTTATCGCTCCTATAATAGCCTCCCTTATCGCTCCGTTTAATAGCCTCCCTTATCACTCCGCCCATACAATATCTCAACACATATAATAACAGTGAAATGCCACCCTTATGCCCGCATAATGTCAACAGTGAAATGTCACCCTTATATCCTCAAAATAATAACTCAATTAACACAACAATTTACACGAAATATTATCACGGGAACGTAACAAAATCAATTCATATCACAATTTGCTCAATGGCCACAACCAATTCCAAAGATATAACACAATCAATTAATTTCACAACAAATAGCTCAAGGCTCCACACAATGTATATAAAACCTCAAAAATAATCAACAGAGATAGAAAATAATCAGCATAGGGCAACGCCTTCATTAATCCAAATTTTAATAATTATATTAACACTTCTTCTTAAGCTTGCTTAATTAAATATTTGTAAAGGAAAAATCCATAATCAAATTAAATTCCAAGAAATATCAAACCATCAAACTCACGGAATTCACATAAATATACAAATAATAATTACATCAAATTGTCATATAAAAACAAATTCATTAAATGTGATTTGAGGCATGGCAAATAGATGATTAAATAAATACCAACAATTATCCAATTTACTACACAATATGCCCAAGACTTTAACTCAATAAATTTTGCGCATATAATCCCGAGTACGTACTCGTCACCTCGCGTACATGGCTTTTCACATTTCACAAATGGTACATAAGACTCGATGCCTAAGGGGTAATTCTCCCACTCAAGGTTAGGCAAAATACTTACCTTTTTGAAGTTATGCCAATATTCCAAAATCATCTTCTTGCTTTAATTGACCTCCGGACAGCTCAAATATATCCAAATTAATTGTACAACTTCATTAAAATTCATCGGAAATAATTTCAGATAATAATACGTTGACTTAAAAATTTATCCTAAAAAGTCAATAAAAGTCAACGCGAGGACGCCTCTCGTAACCCGACATAATTTTTACGAAATCCGAACACCCATTCCGATACGAGTTCAACCATACCAATTTTATCAAATTCTAACAACAAATCGTCCTCCAAATCTTGAATTTTCGTTTTTGGAAGATTTTTCAAAAATCTTGATTTCTTCCATTTAAATCCGAATTAAACTATGAATATAACCATAGATTCATGAAATATAATCACTTTAGGATATAGAACACTTACCCCAGTCGAAGTCGTGAAGAAATTCTCAAAATCGCCCAAACACTGAGCTCCAAATATCCCAATCGAAAATGAAGAAATGACAAATTTTCAATCCTTAAGTTTCTGCCCAGGTTTGCATTTGCGGACAAAAACTTCGCATTTGCGATGAACAATACCTCCCATGAACAGTGCTTTCGCAATTGCGACAAATTGTTGGCAATTGCGAATGAACAGTGTTTTCGCAAGTGTGACAAATTGTTGGCAATTGCAAATGAACAGTGTTTTCGCAATTGTGACAAATTGTTGGCAATTGCGAATGAAAAGTGTTTTTGCAATTGCGACAAATGGTTCGCAATTGCGAATGAACAGTACCTCACCAGAAACCAGCAAACTCAAACTTCTCTGAAATAATCCGAAACCACACTGAAATTCATCCGGAACCTCCCGGACACAAACCATATATGAATTTCAATCATAAAACATGCTACGGACCTGATCGCGGACTTAAAACACTGAAAAGAGGTAGTCTTGAACCGATATTGACCATGGTCAAACTCCCAAATTTCTTAACTTTACTAGTCTCTCAACCAATGATCCAAAAATACACCCAAACCCCTCGGGACCGGTCAAATCATACCAACAAGTCCTAAAACATCATACGAACTTAGTCAAAACTTCAAATTACATCGAACAATGCTTAGAATCACGAATCATACCCCAATTCAAGCTTAATGAAACTAAGAAATTTCAACTTCTACATTCAATGCATAAACCTATCAAATCACGTCCGATTGACCTCAAACTTTGCACACAAGTCATAAATAACATAATGGAGGTATTTAAATTTTCAGAATCGGATTCCGGCTCCGATATCAAAAAGTCAACTCCTCGGTCAAACTTCCAAACTTAAATTTCTATTTTAGCCATTTCAAGCCTAATTTAGCTACGGGTTTTCAAATAATTTTTCGGACACGCTCTTAAGTCCAAAATCACCATACGGAGCTATTGGAATCATCAAAACTCTATTCCGGAGTCGTTTGCTCAAAAGTCAACTCTCCGGTCAATTCTTTTTTAAGCTTCTTAAATAAGAATTGTTCTTCCAATTTGATCCTGAATCATCCGAAAATCTAACTCGACCACACACGCAAGTCATAATACACATCACAAAGCTGCTTGGGACCTTAAGTCGTTGAATGAGATGCTAATTCACAAAATGACAAATCGGGTCGTTACACCTTGTCCTTTCTCCTAGAAGTATATAAAGGTCAAGCATCTAAGGGTAATTATAAACTTATTGGTTTTTAGTTTAAAAATTAATAAATATTTTAAAAGATATCTTAGCTTGTATATCCAATTTTAATGCAATGAACTAAACAACCAATAATAAATAATTTCTACATTACGAATGCATATATTATTAATTTCTGCATACTGATCCCTGCATTATAATACCAGTACAATTTGTCGTCGAACCAAACGTTGGATTCAGTAGCTCTAACATTCCAATAGCTATAAAATTCTTACAGCAAAGTTTGAAATATTGAGTCCACTCATCCGATCAATCACTGTTTAATTGTACGAGACTCCTGCATTGGCATTTCTCATCAAATTGTTATTATTATTATTATCTTCTTTTTGCTTTTTCGATAATAGCAGTGCTTCGACCGGTTTGTGCGACTCTCAATTATTTTATCGAATAATTCTGCCTATTAAAATTGAGATAAAAAGAACCACGTAACAGTTTTCATCTCTGCTAACAATTTGCATTGGCTGAAGATAACAGAGACATCTGAATAATGCAAGGGCGTTTTATTGGATTTTGACTATATCTAGAGTGTGGCAAATGAGAAAGGCCGTTGACTATTGTGGAATGAAAAGGTGATCCGTAATTTTGTAATTATCAAGACAAATCAATGGTACAAAGAGTTAAGTTACATGGACTCTCCAAAATGTTGTCGCACCCGTGTCGGATCCTCCAAAATTGTACTGCTTTTGGAAGGTACGACACACACCCGGCAACAATTTTTGAGAGTCCGAGCAACACAAGACAAAAATTATAACTGAAATTTCCC